CGTCTTCAAGTGTATAAAACAAGGGCTGACCTGATTAGTGCCCTCCCATTAATAAGTGACGGTGCAGTATCTTTGGATGGGGGAATACTCAGAACAGGCGGGATCTTAACACTTGGAAGCAGGTAACGATCTCCCTCTTTGGGTTCTTCACTCTTTTTTTTTGTCTTCTGTAACAAATTCAAGTTTCAGCGATGAGGTCAACGTGAGGTTTGCAAAGCCAACTGCTTCGCAGACGATGAACAATTTCAGTGAGGCAGAGAGGCAAATGAAAGAGCTGAGACAGAAGAAAGAAAAAACACTGGAGGACATAAAGCGAGCGCAAGTGCTCCGTGACCATGCTGTGTACAACTTTGGCAAGAAGAAAGACGAGTTTGTTCGGTTCTTGGCTCAGAGCTCATCCACTAATATGAGGTAGTGATCTACTTTGTGACCAAACTCCTTACTTTGATGGAATCGTCTATGATTGATTATATATTTGCTTTCAATTCAAAGCGTTGGTTTATATGGCTGACATATCTCTCTGTTGTGGTTCTCCAGCCAATGATAGTCTACTCAAATGAAAAGAGAGCAGGCCAAGAATCATATGGAGCTCTGAGTAACAAAGACTTAGTAGACTGGTTTGGTTAGCTTTGATTCTGCATTTCTAGTTTCGATTTAACTTGACCATGTACATATATGATGGATGTTTTAGTTTTCTAACCTATTTATGACTTTCGAGTTCTTTATGTTTCCTATCTCTTGTTTTTTCTGGAATCTATATTATAATAGAAGAAATTTAACTACAAAGAAAAAGTTAATGGTCTCTTCCATAGTGAAAATAGCGAATATGATATTATTAGTCTACATTATATACTTTTTAGTAGTAGGCAGATTTAAGTATGTACATTAGCAGGCAGATTTTTTAATACCATTTAAAATAATATTTATCATAATTTTAGAAAAAAACTTGACTTTGTCATTTTGTTTATTATTAGCTCTGGGAACAAGTTACCTATGTCTAAACATCACTTACACAAGTAGTTTACAAAATTTCAGTTCTTTGTTGCTTGCATATTACACGCATTAGCTTGCAATAAAGAATACTATGCAGTAATATAACATCAGGTAGAACTATTTTGCTAAATACCATGCTAATAAATTTGAAACCGAAAGCAAAGCGTAAAAGATGATCTTACAAAAACATGGCAGTAATAGAAAGAGGTGGATCATAACTTATTTACGGCTTCTTCTCCTTGAGCTACCACATTGGCTGCTTATCCTTGAACCGCCACATCAACTTCTTCAACAACACCGTTATTATCCCAAAGCATCTTTACATCTTTTCTTGTTCTTGTTTTGGAGTTAATATTGAAGCTATACTAATATGTATACTCCTCCTTCTTGGCTTTTGCTGCTTCCAACTCTTTCGCCTTTGCCTCCGTTTTCAATCTCCCGTTCTCATCCATAAGTTTTTGTAGATCATCCTCTCTTTCTCCTTTCCTCAGCTCTTCTTTTTGTATTTTTTCACACACCCTAACTGTTTCGTCGTCCACAATTGACGATGTTGTTTAGCGGTGACTTCTTCCTACGTCGGAACATGTATCGGACAAAGGTGAACCATGGCGGAACGCGAGGGCGGTAGGATCGAGCGAGTGTTTACAGAAAGGTGTCTTTGGAGATTGACATGCTTGAAAATGTGAGAATTCTCAGTATAAGTGTTAAGGTTGAAGGAAAATCAGATAAGACAATAGATAAAGAGAAATATTGAAGTTTTTTTCTTCATTTTCCTTGTGTTTTTGTCACATTACATTCATCCTTATTTATACAAAAGCAGAGGAATAATCTAGAGACTGAACAGGTGACTCTGACAGCTCAGACGATCTGATCCTCAAGCGCATCGAATCTATTTGAGAGGAGCACCTGATGAGCTGGAGTTTTGGTACGTTTGTCTCTATCTTTCCTATATTTTTCTCTTTTGTTACCGTTGCAGGATTTTGTCCTTTAAATGGAGCTGAAGTGGGTTTGTTGTTACCAGGACCCAAAACCTTTTCCCTCGAATGGGCCTGAATGTGATGGATTGATCTAAAGGCCTTAATACCCCCTTGTAAATTCGAGGTGGGGGAGTGATCAACTCCGAGTTTGTACCTTAGCGTAGCAAAGCTATGTTGAGACAGTGACTTCATAAAACACGTCTATTGCCGGTATATGCTTCACAATGAGAGACCCATCAGCTACCTTCTCTCTAGCAAAGTGATAATGAGTTGCAAAATGCTTTGACTTGCTATGTAAGACAGGATTGGCAGTCAAATGTACAGCTGAAAGATTGTCGCAATAGATCTCCACTGGCTCAGTCTGATTAATACCAATGCTCTTCAGCATACTAGTGATCCAAGAAAGTTCAGCTGCAGTGTCTGACAGTGTCCTATACTCTGCTTCTGTTGAAGATCTTGCAACAGAATCTTGCTTCTTTGCAGACCAAGAAATCAAGTTAGATCCTAAGAAAGTACAGAACCCGCCTGTAGACTTTCTTGTGTCTTGGCATCCAGAAAGGTTTCAATAGAATTTCACCAAATGGGCCCTAAAGCATGGGCCAATATCCATGTCAGGTGATCAGGATAAATGTGACTTAGTTTCGCGTAGCAGGTGAATCGAACCTGAAACATGTTGATGTCCATGTCCCGCCTCCTTATCACTCGACCACAATCAACCGATCCATCTCTCTGCTTGAGATGCCATTTTATTTATTTTCGTTACATTATTGAAACAAAAGGTTTCAATAGAATTTCACCAAGGTTTTGCTTTACTATTTAGGGTTTACAATATATATTCCTCTCTTTTTGTACACTTCATAAATAGTTACATGACTTACATCCAATATATTTTCCAATATATTTTCCAACTGCAGTGAAACCTCTATAAATTAATAATGTTGGAACTACACCAATATTTTATTTTTTATTAGTTTAAGGAGATATTATTTTATAGATATACTAATTGAAATCAAAAACTCAATTTGGGACTATAAAATTATATTAATTTATAGAGATATTTAGTGTATATTAATTTATCGAGTATTAGTTTATAGAGGTTCTACTGTATTTACCAGCAAACATCCTTTTCTAGAATGTATAATTACTCAACACTTTTAACTACTAGATGCATAGTCCCCGCGCAAGCGCGGGGTTGGATACATTGTTGATGTGTTGTGTAGTTTTGTGTATGAGACTTTGCTGTTTTTTTTTAACATTTGTTTATCTGGCTTATCTATAATGGTGATGAATGAAACATTAGAAGTCACACAACTTGATTAGTCTGATAAAAGAATGAACATCAAATTCATATGGGTTGATATTTTCATATTTTATCTTCGTAGTGATTTTATCGAGCATTCCCTTTATTAGTGATTTTATCGAGCATTACTGTTATTAGTGCTTTCATGTATAAAAATAATTTAATGGAGACAAGACAAAAAAAGGACATGTGTTTATTAGTGTAATTTCTTTCTGAAACTATGTTGTATATATATATATTTTTTTTTTTTTTAATTGTGATGTATATGAGATTTATGGCCGATCTGAATGGTTCGGGGTAAATATTTATTATTGAAAAATATGTTTTTATTTTATTTGATTATTATAACTGAATTGAAATGATATTGGAGGTTAGAACATGATAACATTTCTTATAAAAGTATCTAAGATAGTCTCATAAAGTTACAAATCCTTAAGCCATTTTGTATCCCAACAACCAGCATAAAAAATCATTCTGAATCTCTCTAAGTTTTTAGGTATCCCGAAAAGCCCAAATTAAAAAAAAAAAATTACATGCAAACACTGCGTTTTGAACCCACACACTCGTGGTACCAACTTCTAGTCACCAACTTACACCACTGGGCCATTTCATCACTCATTGATAACATTTAATCTTAAAAACTGTTATACGTTTTTGTTTTCCCTAATAATACACATGGGGCCCGTAAACTTGCTGAGGTGGATAGGCTTAGGAGCCTTGAAAGTGTATCATTATAATATAGATTTAAAAACAAATCAATTCTAAAGCGATTAACATTCACGGCAACCAATTTACGAGTGAGATTTTAGCTTATAACAAGATAATCCGAGAAACCAAAAAACATGCAAATCAACAGAACACTAATTCCTGACAAAACTAACATAAAATTTCACAAACGGTTATGAAATGTTGTCAATAGCATTGAGTATATCTCAATAATTTAGTCAGCAGTAGAAAGAGACCGAAGCCCAGCAGCAAACATGACCACCTGGAATTGTCATTAACTAGAGCTAAGGGGTTAATCTTATGGTACGGTTTGTATGATTTAAATACTAATTTTTTTACCGGTGGCTTGCTTAAAAAGTTGTAGTTTGTTTTGTGTCTTATTGTTCATTTATAATAGGTTCTCAATCTCACAATTGGTTTAGATTAGTATTTGGTTAACATTTGATCAACCTATTTAGTTAACTCAATCAATTTAATTATTAGTTAAAAAAATCAATTAAGGAGTTGGTTTCTACATAGGTTGGAGTACCGACAGCTGTATATTCAATGATTTTAAATACCCTAAATATTATAAATTTAATATTTGTTTTAAAAACCTTAATGGGCAAAATAAAAAATATTTAGATTATAACGAAAATTTAATGAGTATTTGCACTCCATATACACACAAAACACCTTATTTAGCTTCAGACCTATTTCTCTCTTCTCTTTCCTTCCCTCCCATCACTAATTTTTCCTCCTAAAGTATGGCAAATCCCTAAATACCTTCTTATTTGGAAATTTGTGAAGAATACGACTTTCCTTGTACACATTTTCAACTTTACACTAATAACTTTAACCTTTAAAATTTTAATGGGAAAAATACTATTTTATCCCTAGTTAATTAAACTAAAAGCAAACTATAGATTCTCGTTATTCTCTTTCTCTCTGACGGAAAGATTGCGAAGCGGAGCCCTGTCGTAGCTGAGGCGATTGCGGAGAGAGGATTGGATGAGCTGGTCTAGCTATTTCTTAAGGTGGAGGTTCAAAGATCGGAGCTCGGTGTTCTCTAGATGGAGCGCTTCCGCTTCCAGAGATGCCTCGTGGAGGCGCGTGTAACACAGTGCCTCTCGATTCACCATATCTTGGCATCGCTGCTGCATCACATTGCGGTTGGAGTGGTAGAGCTGGTCACAGGACGGTTCTCCGTGAGAGTTCATGATCCCAGTGGCTCCGCCGCTATAAGTAAACGGTGCGATTTCGTTTTCCATTGTTCGTCGGTGAAAATCACGGCGGTTTCTGTTTCACAATCGCCGGGAATAGAAAAGTAAATCAGATCTAGTTCTCGATTGAATCTATTATGAAGATGGATTTGAGTCATGAGAAGCAATCCGTGGTGACAAAAACAAGTAATGGGTAACAGTGTATTCGTGATGTGATGATTGTTTCTGCTATAGAGTCGACTCCAAAGACGCATGCGTTTTAAGCAGAATCATTTCATACAACAGACACTGATGCCACATACATGATGCCACAACCATCTTTGAATCAGATTGAGGAGTTCAAAGAAAAGGTATCAAACTCTCTTTTGGAACCAAGTCTTTCAATACATGAACTGCAGTCTCTAATGCGTACGAAAAATTACCCACAATCGTTTGGATGTGGTTCGTTCTCTGGGTTGAGCTGTAAGCAACGAGCTGAGGAGTGGTTTGCTCTAGAAATGGAACAAGTCTATGTTTTAGAGGTGGTAGATGAGTTGATTCAAAAATCAGTGGAATATGTTGATGTGGTTGCACACCAAGTGTTCGATCATTTGTTTCTCAGGGGTTGTAAGATGAATCAAAGAAGGTATAAAAAAGACTGGACTTTCAAGTACAAACTTAAGAAACAAAGCCAGAATTTCAGTGACAATGTTTTTACAGAGAAGGAAAAGCTTCAGGTAGTTTTTTGTGGAAATATCAATGGTGGTTTTGGATGGGATTAACTTTGAGAGTATGTCCCAGAGAGATGAACACGTTCGAGATATCTCTGTGAACCTATTGACTCAGCTACGGAACAAGTTTCCTCACGTAAATGTGGCAAGATTTTTTTTTCTATTTCGGAGTTAGATTTCTTGTTTTTTTTTTCTTTTGGTCTTTAACAAATGATCAATTTTGTCATATATACTTCCATTAGACACCCGTGGTGTAGTCTGTTTTTTATGGATTTTCAAGTATTTTGTGATTTCTGTTTCAACGTCTACCATATATATTTTTGTAACTGTTTAATTTTCTCGACATATTTCATCTCCGTTGTACAGCCAGTAGTTTATTTTTCTCCCTCTGTTTATTTGTTTCTGTCTTTTATTACTGCCTTTTGCTACTGTTACTGACTTTCTGTGTTTGCCTTCTGTATGTGTGTGCATGTTTTCCTTTTTACCTTCTTCAACTGTTCTTTAGGAATGTATCCCTCTGCTACATTGGTTGACTGAGAATGAGAAAATGCAGGTCCTCTGGCATTCATCGTGTCTGGACAGTTTAATGTTTTCTGTTCATAATAATACACCTCCAACAGTTGTCAATGAACATGCTTGGACTGCTGTTGTTCGATCCTTATACCAGAAAGTTGTTCGAGAATGGATCATAATATCGCTTTCATATGCTCCATGTACCAGTCAGGGTTTGCTTCAGGTTTCCTTCTTTTTACCAACTCATATTGCTTTCTATTTGCAGATTCAAATTTTCTTTTTATGACAGCTTTCTATTTCTCCAATTCAGTCTGTTAGTTTGACATTTTTAAACAGAGACCTACTGTGGAGATACTATTCCTGTCTGTGTTCTCTTGCAGTGCCATGTTTTACTTCCTTCTACAGTCTTTAACGAACTTTTTTCTTGTTTTAGACTATATTTTTCTCGAAATGATTCAAGCATCTCGACTTTCAAATTTGTTTGTTTGTTTGTTTTTTTTTTCCAACCCAAGAACATATAACAAAGACAGACTATAATTACTACCTATTAATGATACATAATCTCTTGTAAATGGTTTTATAAACCATTATAAATCATTTTATTATAAATCATTTTATTTCTTAGCAATGCTTCAAAATAATTATAAATGTTTTACAAAGATTATGAGAAATTATAAACACTTATAGATATATTTATAAAGATTTACTTATAATTTTTTGTAAGGATTTGCAAATTCTTCTAAATGATTTATTAAGTCCTATAAATTTTGTTATGAAGATTATTAAACTCTTATAATATTTTTATAAACCTTATAAATAGATTTATAAACTCTTATAAATTATAGAAGTTCAGAGAGAGAGAGAGAGAGATTGCTAGTAAAGTTCGTTTACTATGGAGTGAGATGATTTTAACAGTCGTTCAATGACAGACCGATCCAAACCGAACCGAACAGAACTTAAATCTTTTAATCTTCAATAACCGGGATAAACCGGTTTCCGGCAAAAAATGTTTTAGATTCATTTCAGAAACATATAACAGAGTCACCTAATTAGAACTGAGGACGATGACAAAAAAAAAAAATAGAACTGAGGACAAAAAGACAAGCCACAACCTGTTCTACATACACTAACTAAAAAGATTGGCTTGAGTATCAACAAAAAGAATCATCATTGTTTCTTTGAAATCAAGAAGAATCTGCTATGCTTACAAGCTTCGCGGATAAACTCAGTTTCTTGGCAATGAATTTTAAAATGAATACTGTATACTGTAATCAAACAAGTAAAGAACTTTTTTTGGTTAGTTACCATAATCTATGTGGCAAGCCCAGGGCTCGTAAAGTAAGGGTGGCATCAGAGCAAGCCACAGCGATAAAACAAATAGTTAGCCTGAAAAAGACGAACAGACAAGATTTCAGCATCGTCTATCATTGATGGGTTCAATCAAAGTAAGTGAAGGCTGTCTCTCTAACCTGGAACCAACACATTTAACTAGAAATGCTGTGGCAGCCATGTATCTCCAGTCATCTTCATAGTTTTCTCTCCCCTGATAAGAATTGGATCTTGATTCTGTGACGTTAACGCTAGTATCTTCACACTATCTAGTTTCGGAGTTTTCTCAATCTTTTTACTTTTGGTGGGCATGTCAGTAGCAACCCATTGGAACGTCACTGACGAGACGTCCGATGAATCTCTGTTGTCTCCATTATCACTAATAAAAGATTCTCCCTTCTTATTTTGTCTGCCATTCCTCAGGAGCCAAGAGGTTAGAACACGCTTGGCTCCAACAGATATGAGTAAGCACGGGCTTTCACTATCATCCACTGCAGAGTCTTGTCCACCAATGTCTGGTACGTTAGGTATGTCTGCAGCAATTATGTGCAGCAAACTGATCTCACTGCTGAGCCTCCAACATGTTCTCCTAATAGCTCTGATGTTTCCCAATTTCCAAGCTCAGATGCATACCTAGATGAACCCCCAAACACTTCTAAACAATTATATAAAAGTATTTATATCATCAAGTATCACTTAATTAAACTTTATTATGACTACTACCTACCTAGTCAATCTCACAGATCCATCTTCGCATCCTGTTGCAATCCAACTATGAGCTTTTGTTTCTGCAGAGATGAAACATAAGGAATGTAATTCTCTTCCATGAAACTCTGTATGCAAATTCAGAGGAAAGACTTTGGTCTTTTCTCCTCCAACCCAGTGTCTATGAATATGAATGACATCATCCTATATAAAAGAGACAGGTTTACGATCAGTCAAGGACCATACGTTAATACACAACTTTCATCTAGAGAATAAAGATGCACCTTCACATAAGCAAAACAGTTTTGCATCTCAGGGATGTCCCCAAGATGAAAAGAGTGGGGACGACACCATCCACCACATGAGATCTGTGCAACCTGTTGACGCCATCCACTCTTTTTTTCTTTGAGCTCCAAGGTTTGTTAGCTTCTGAAGCATCAACTTCTGTTGATATTTACCTATACTCTGGAAAAATGTCGTTGCCTCCTCAAGTGCATCCTTGAAAGCACAATACTCATCACCATCTTCCTCACTCTTCTCATTCTCTTCTCTGTCAGTTAGTGCATCTTTCAGAGCACAAAACTCATCTACACCTTCTTCCTCACTCTTTTCTTTTTTTTCTTCTTCAGTTATTGCATCCTTCAGGGCACAGAGTTCATCCACACCATCTTCCTCACTCTTCTCTCTCTCTCCTCTATCAGTCTCTATAGTTACGTCACTCACCGGTTCAGCCTTATTCTGAAAAAGAATTAAGGATCAGTTACGCACTAGTAATATCAAGTTTTACATAGTGTTTTGTTGTATAGTGATAAGAAGATTGGGAGAATAGAAAAAGCACTCGCTACCTCTCTCTCTCTCTCTCTTTTATAGAAGTTCCACGGACATGCTTAGCTTTTAGCTCTTCGATCCAATCTATCAGCATAAATTCTAGTGGTATCATTACATAAAGTAATCTAAAGTTCAAAATTCTTCCTTTTGGGCTACACTACGCCTCCACACCCCTCAAAATCTTGTCATTTCTAAATTTAATGCTATTAACAGGAGTTATAAATCATTTCCTGCGTATTCATGGTTTTTCAGCAATGTCATACAACACAAGTGTTATGCACACTTCTCTAAATCATAGAACCATCTTATGTTATGTCCACCCTTTAAAAATAATGACAATATGAAACAATGTTTTTGACGTTGATCTTTGTTTGTTGACGATACAATTCTCTAGCAACCACTATCACTATGTCCCCTCTCTTGACTAGTAACTTACTAAGCTTCGACTCTACAGACACATTAATGAATGTGGTATGTATGAAAATATTCTTTAATTGGTGGTAAAATTGAATAATGGTACCAAAGAAAATGTAAAAATAAAATTTTCCCTTCTTCTTTTGGTATATTGAGCTAAATCACTCAAATTTAATTAATGTTTTATTAATTTTCTTATTATTCTACATATAATCTCAATAATAAAATAAAATAATTTTAAATTTTGTGTTCTGATTTATAAACTTATAATCAGATCCTATATATCTATAAAATATATTTATTTAATTATAAATAAATAAATAAAAATTTATAAAGCCCCGAACGTAGTTCGGACAAACCCTAATAGAGTTGTAAACTTATATAACCAAATAAATGATAAACACTCAGTGCACGTACAAAACAAAGAAAATAGTTCTTTTTGTCAACCAAAAAACATGGTTACGATATGGTTTGTTTTTAATAAAGTTAATTAGTTGGGTGAAGTTTTTACCATTACAGTAAACAATTAAATCATTGACTAATTTACCACTAAACAAAAAGAAAAGATGAGATATAAAAGTAGTGACACGAGTGGAGTTATGAAGTTTCAACCAAATCAAGCGATTAGATGATGAGCTTTTCTTGTTGTTTTTATGTCTCCTTTTGAGACCTTGATGACAATTGGCAAGATTGAGATTCCGATTCCAACGATGAACCTCGTGATGGTATTATTGTTTTTAGAAATATTCAATAAATAATAAAAAAGACGATTTCAGTTATTTACAGTATTAAAGAAAAAATAAATAAAAGAGAAAATTGACTTTAAACAGCTTAAATATCTGTAAATTTTTAAAACAAAACAAATATTAAAAATCAATAATCGTTAAAAACTTAATAAATCACAAATACTGAAAGTTTAAAGGTAAATATCTGATCCATTCCGGATTTTATACAAATAATTATATATCTATAATTATATTTTAGTGTTTAAATATATAATTTTATATAATTTATAATTTTAACATATAATTATTTATTTATAAAATTCATATAAATTATTAAATTAAGAAAACAATAAAAAAATCTTTATAAGAAACTATAATTGTCTAAATTTTGTATTTTATCAGAAAGAAAATTTCATTATAAAATATTATCAAACACATAGTTCCACAATTTTTCACTTTTTCTTTAATATTATGTAGAACATGTTTAAAAAAAAGGAAAATAAACATGTATAGTTTTTCCTAGATTTATTTGTATCAAACAAAAAATATGAGATATCCGTAATATTTGAAAATATTCATAAACATTCAAAAAAATTTCAAATATCAAAAAAATCATATTTTCATATTTTTCTAAAATAAAACAAATCAGAAAATTAAATAACATAAGATACGAAGTAAATCAAAAATACTAAAATTACGACACTATTCCATCGGGTACCCAACTCTACATACCACTAAATTAGGTAAGAGAACAATAAGATATATACACAAAATATATGAATATATCCTCCACATAATGTTGAATATACCCTCCACAAAAAGATGTAGAATATATCCTAATTTAAATAATAAAATGGTGCATTACCGACAATTTTTTTTTGAACAAATACCGACATTTTAATTTTTTAAAATACTCGTATAGACTTGTTTTCGGGATTAATCTGAAGACGACCAAGAAACAATATTGAATGTCGTATGTAGAACGTGGACATAAATAAAGATCCTTTAATAAAACAAAAATAACGAATAACGAATTTTAGAAAAAAATGTATAAAACAAAGACTTATTCTTGGGTTCACCAATCAATAGGGTGGTGTTATTTCATATTTGATATCTTTTAAAAAAGTAAACAAAATCTTATCAAGTTATATTATGTTTTAAAATAAAAATAGAAAAAAATAAAAATATTAATATTTACAAAAAACGAAAAAAAATCTTTAAAAAAATATTTTAACATCATATTATGTTTTAAAATAAAATAAAAACAGTAATAATTGCAAAAAACAATTTAAAACAAAAATATTTTAATATATCTTTAAAATAAAAACATGTGTTTAAAATAAAAAAAAATAAAAATAAATAAAATAGTATAGTTAGTTAGTATTAATTTACCCAAGGGTTAAGATTTTTCCAAACAATTTATGATTTACCCAAGGATTTAGGATTAGGGTTTAAGAATAGAGTTTAGGGTTTAGTGTTTTAGTGTTAAATATTTTTTAAAAAAGCTTTTTTTTTTTTTTTTTAATATTATTATTTTTCATTTACTTTTTGTATTTTATTTTAAAAACATAATATAACTTAACAAGATTTTATTTTCTTTTTAAAATGATATCAAATATAAAATAACATTATCATAAGAATAACTCTAAAACAAAACAACAAAATATCCCTATTGTTTATTTTTATTTTTTCACTCTTTTTATTTCCAAAAATAATAATAATGCTAACAGTAACTATAGACAGAAAAATCTAACTCAGAGGAACAAATACGTTTCATAATAATCGCAATAATGTGGAGATGATTACTATTACCACGTTGTATGATATCATGACTCTTAATCGACGACGCCGCCGAGTTTCTCGTCCTCAACTCAGCCACCGAACTCGCTTCCGCAATCGACTCACTCGGACCAATCACTTCAAAGCCCTTCGTCATATGAACATTCCCAACGAGTTGACCCAGCACGACAGATTCCGACACCAAACTCTTTCTCTTATGTTGCTGCTGCATTGTCGCCCTCACGATCTCAGTATGCATGGCGCTCGATAACCTCCTGACTCCTTTCGCTCCACCGATCAAAACCGCCGGGTTAATGTCGGAACCTTTATTGTTACTGTGTTTAGAGAAGAAGAGAACTGACTCGGGGCTCCGGTTACGAATCCGGGTTAACGGGTCACCGACGAATAACGAGGTCTTTGCGTCAACGAGCATCACGTGCTTGAAGTTGCGTCTGACTCGTCCGAGCAGCATCGGGTAACACGCCCATCTCCTCAAGCTCATCGGCACGTGATCGATAAACCCGGAGAGCGAGTTCTCTGGGTCTAACTCGGTCGCGTCGAAACCCACGACGGAGCCGTGAGTCAACTCGGTTGACTCGGTCTCGTTCAATGCGGAATCGTTGACTCGGTGGCTCTTCTTACCCCAGATAGGCTCAGAGATATCCTTCATAGATTCCTTCTTCATGAAACGAGACAGGTTAAACCCTAAAACGGAGTCGTTTTGGGTCGACGAGTTTGCGTTTCGGTGAACGTCGACGAGTTTCAAGAACGAGTCGTTCTCTTCCTCGATCAGGTTGGTGAATCTAGTTGCGGAGGAAGGAGAGTTGAAGAGTAGAACGACGTCGGATCGGGAAGTGACTCCTGAGCGGTGTAGCAACCGCATGAAGAGGCGGAGATCTTCCGACGTCGTATGGGAAGCGATATGAGCAACGATGAGACCGTGCATGCTCTTGGTTCCTCTCAGGAACAGAGTACCCATCCCCTGAAGAGCGTAACGTCGAGGTTTGGCGACGGAGACGGTGCGAGTGAGGAGAAAGCGACGGTGTGAACCGGGAGAGACGACAGAGGAAGGTTCGAAGGTGGAGAGAGTGAAGAGGAAGAGTGTGAGGAAGAGGAGGAGGATGCATATTGAGATTGTGGATTGTGCTTTGGAGAGGAGAAGACGGGAAGGTTTTGAGCGGAAGAGAGTCGCCGGAGATGAAGAAGAAGAAGGAGAGACGACGTCGTTGTGGTCAGGGAAGAAGACCAAGAGGAAACCCATTCCTCTGTTAGTGTTCTTCGTCTCTTTCGCTGATGATATCAAACCCATTCTGTCTCTCTTTAGGAGTTAGTGGTGACGAGAGGCTGAGACTGATAAGAGCATTCGCTTTCTTCTCGAACTTGCCTTTTAATATTTTGCATCAAAACTGTTAATATCTTTTTTTATTCAATAAAATTATTTAATACCTTTAATTTATGATGTTGTTGGCAGCAAGGAAAAGGATGCCCGGGTCTCGTCACCCCGGGTCGGATACTTGTTTTGGAAACAAACAAAAATGTGGGTAGCATAATCAGGAGATGTTTATTAACCTGATATGGGCACCCGAATTTAATATTTAGTTAATAAATAAGTAGACTATGATTAAAATGTCTATTATTAGCCTTTTTGTTAGCTATGAATACCATCACATGTTTTACTAAAATAACTCATATTCATGAATCATGAGAGAGAGAGAGAGATGTCTTTAGTGAATTGTATCGAGCCTCTAAAAGAAAGACTAGTATAGTCTGAGATTGTGTATTATCAATTTGATTAACACGTTATTAAAGGGTGTGCCTACTATTCTTGAAAATAAAGTTTGACTGTTCTTATTCCATGTGAAAACATTGAAAATTTTAGGCCTGTGTAACTTGTATACCTTGACCGGATTAACCATTGACAAGTTTATGTATTCCTTCAAGGGATTTTATTTGAGACTTTTGAAACGATTTGTAAATGTATGGAATCTCTATTACCAACGAGATCGTCACTAATTTCGTGTTATCTCTTTTTTACTACCTAAGAATAGGATTATCGCATGATTAGAAAAGAGGAGTATTTAAAAAAAAATTTATTTATATAACTTTTCTGATTAAAAAACAAAAAATTAAAATGTAACCAATTACGAGTCACCATATATCATGAGGCCCGAGGAACAGTCCAAGCACCCATAAAAATTGGACGCTTATTTTGGCAACAGAGACATCAAATTATATTTCTTTATGCCCCTCCCTTTACCTTTCCCCTAAACACCCTAACCCCTCCTCCAATAATAGTGCTCTAAGAAGACCAATCAACTTTAGATAGAGAATTGTAGATTATAATCATACCTTTTTCTGTAAAAATAAAGAATTAAATCTAAATTTATAAAAGATACAGACCTAACCTTTCTATTAAAGACACAAACCTAATACCGGATGGAGGTACAATCCATAGATAAACCCTTTTTTGAACATTTAAATGGGTTAAAAACAATAATTCATATTGTGTGGCCACAAAATGAAATGTACTCTAGTAAAACGCCCACATCATTAAATCTGCCCCCTTGAGTACAGCTAGACATGAAGGAAGGGCTAACTGTATAAAAAAATCAAATGTGATAGTATGACTTTTGTTTAGGAGTCCGTGAGAACAAGTGTGTGTTGAACGTTGACGGTGGATCTCTATTCTCATTGGAACCTTCTGATGAAGCTCCTTCACACGTGGCGTCTCTTCTTCTGCAAGTTAGGTCGGGACTTGTGATTTATTTACTAAATTATATCTCGACATTTAGACCCATTACCAGATTTTGTGTCGAAAATCTTTTAGAGTTCTGGATTCACTACGAAACAAACTAACAATCAACCAAAAACAATCCAAAACAAATGTTTTGAATATACTATACTTATCAAGGCTTTGAGTCCAGTTGTAGTTCAATTAATTTAAAGCAGTCTCTATCAATAACGTTCAAAGTTTTTCATAGACATTAATTACTATAAACTACACACAAAAAAAAAATCCTTCTCGAACGTAAATATATAACTGAGAAGATTTCTGAAAATCCTGAGCTCCCGCTGTCATCCAAATTATTTTGATTGTCTATTAAAAAAAAAGAGTTTGATCACGACGCGTACTTACTGACATGATAAAAGCAAACTTGTACTTTTTGCCGCTTGGCAAACTCTCTGGTGATTTTTTCCTCTCAGTATTATTTTTATCTATTGCCCAATTCTAACATAAATGTCTGAGCAAGCCTGCCCCTAACTGTTTCTAAACCATCAAGCTGTCGGCGACGGGCGACCACCCTTAATTTGTTGGTGGCCTTGAGTCATTTCAACTTGACCTATTTTTAAAGCCCAAACAATTTAAAAAAAAAAAACAATTTATAATTTATAATTCACTATAATGGCCCAAAAATATTGTGGTGGGCTTTGGAAAAGAGCGTGGGTGACAGGTGTTTCATCTATTGTCAGTTGAATTAAGCTTAGAAAATGTAAATCCATCACAAGTATGATGTGTGCTGTGTTGGGAAACTCAAATAAGAATGACTAATGTTATTTGATTAATCAAAAACCACGTTATCACCAAACACATAAAGCAAACTCTAGTTGATACCAAAAGAACCGCCAGAAACAAAGGAGAATACACAATAAGACCTTTCTACTAAACACCGTACTTAGTTCCATCAACCAGAGGCCACTTGACTTCCAGAGTTATCCCCTGGAGATTCGATCTTAGGCTTCTTTCTCTTTGTACAATACCCTGACCACGACAACCTAACAAAGACAAAACCCACAATGTTACAAAAATAAAAATAAAAAATCTCAAATACGTTATTAAACAATAAAAGCTTGAAACAGAGAAGGTAGGGCTTTTTGTTTGCAGCTTACCCCAGCTGCAAGGAAGTATCGGAATAGTGATCCTCATTGTCATTATCGTCATCGTCTGATGAAGAGCTCTCGTGCTCCTCTTGTGGGCTAGAGAATTGATGTATTTCACTCAACCCTTTTGGTCCTGTTGAATCTCTCGCCAACATCTCTACCTGAGGGTAAAATTAGCTTTAAACTCGGTATATATGGTTAAGACCAAAGTGAGCTAGTGTAAGGGTTTAACAAATCTTTACCTGTTTGCGCAAAAGTTGGTTCTCTTCCAATGCTCTTCTCTCCTGATGATTATAAGTAAATGAAAACAAAGATGGTGAGGTTTTAACATTGTGTAAAGAATCAATGATGCAAATTTGAGTAAAGCCTTGTTCTTACCTGTAACCTGGATCTTTCTACCTGGTTGAGCAAGAGTTGTGTCTGAATCAAAATAAAACTTTGCAAGTCAAGAGAAGATTCACAGATCCTTGTTCTTTAGAATTAAAAAGTAAACAACGGTTCTTTTGTATCCACCTTTTGATTCTTGACACTATGCAAGCTATCACTCAACTGGTTTTCAAGAGAAATAAGATCCGAGAAACTCATACCCTCAAGCTCCTTACCCTTCAGTCTCCTGCTCTCATGAACACATACAAAAGATGAGCCAAGATGAACAATCAAACTTCACACAGTTTAAACCAGATAGATACATACTCAATTGCAAGTTGTAGTCTCTCAAGTTCACTCCTCACAGACTCATCTTTTTGCAACTGCAACAACAGAATTATGTAAGAAAAAAGGATACAGAATCTCGTGGTAGAGAAGATCACTGCTTATATACACATACCACAGCACCATTATCATGTGAAGAAGAACAAAGTAGAAGCTGTTGTTGTTCTCTTTGTTTATGATCAGCTGTTTCAGCTCTGTATCCATATCTAGAGAGAGTTTGCTCCATACTTCAACACATTTGATAAAAAAAAATCCCCATTAGATAAATCCTTTTAGTAGGCTTGACCATAACACCAAAACAACCAAAACACTTAGAAAATGTCTTCTGCATTTCACTAAAGAAGAGATAACACACACCTCTTAGGAGACAAATTAACTCTTCTATGTTCTACTATAATCTTAAGAGTTATAGATCAGTACCAAGGTTGCATTTTTATTCAACAGTTAGCGTTTATAAACTCAAAAGTCACAATCACCCAAATTATAGAGACACAAGTCTCGATTTCTACAAGGATAAGTCTTTAAAACCAAAAGACGGAACAAGCACTTTGCTCTGTTTTCGATGACAAACAAGTTGCTCTGTTTTCAATCGCTCTCTTTAGACACAAAATCCTAGAAAGCAACATACTTTGCAAATCTCAAATGAAACCAGAACAAAAAAGAATCATTTTTAGTTAGTTTACCAGCCGCTGGAGAAATCGTAAACCTTGCCGGTGCTGGAGAAGATGATGAGAGCAACATCGGCCTCACAGAGAATAGAAAGCTCTTTGGCCTTCTTCATCAACCCGTTACGTCTTTTGGAGAACGTGACTTGACGACTGTTCACATTCTCAATCTTCTTAATCTCAATCCTTCCTCTCCCCATCTTCTATCAAGTTTCAACCTGGTTTGCTCTGTAAAATTGAGAGAGATTATACAGAGGAGGAAGTAGTAAGCCTTTGAATATATAGATAGAGATTCTGTATATAGGAATGGGTTTTCTATAGGAAAGAAGGAGGCTAGAATTAGGGTATTGCATAAAAAAGATGGGAGTTACTATAAGTAGCAATGTTCCATATTTGGTTTGCTTTGCTTTCGTGTGAGTGTTTGTTTTCTTCTTTTAGGAACTTACTTTCCCTTTTATAACGCCTTTGTTTCGTTTGTCTTCTCTTCTTCTCCTACTGTAAAATTTGCTTTCTCTTTTCTTACTTTTGGTTATATATAAATTTACTATGTAGGGTTTTCGTTTCTGCTTGCTTTAGTTCACCTTTAATGACGGTTATAAACTTAATTTACCAAAAAAATATTAAAACATTACAGGTTTACAAAGAAAGTAATTTCTATTTTTCGGAAAAAGTTGACCGTGTATCACGGTATAATCCTCTATATATTAATTGAGAAACATTTGAAAAGATGTAACCTCAAGTTTGTATTAATTAAAAAGTAACCTTACTTAGTTGTCAATCAATTAGCATATCAATTAAACTGACGTGGCGGCTTTAGGTTCAATTGAAATTTGCTATGGAAAAATAATTAGAGACGCATATAATGCATGTAACATAGTTTATAATTTATATATATCGCACGCATGTAATGGAAGAAAAGGAAAATATACGATTTGATAACGATTTGCATATATTAACTATAATAACTTCATTCCTTTTAATTTATGGAAGTGTATATGTAAAATGGAAAATACTTAAATTCAAATAATCATAACGTAATTTATAAATCATTGGTGTAAAGTTTTGTTACACAAATATGCAAA